ACTGATATTGTAGACCAAAGTGAGATACACGATATATATAAGATTATAAATGTAACCTCAACAAACATAATAAGTTGAATGTATGATAAAATGGTGGCTGATACAGTAGATCACGCGCACGTGACAGTGGCCAACGTCTGCTAGCTCGCAAAGTCACGTATACGTGACAGTGGCCGTCAAAGTGTCAACACGGATTAAATTCACGAAACTTGCGTTTGCAAAGCGTCGTTTTGTCTTTCGAATCGATTGGACAATGACGAGGCTCGACAGGGAGTATTATTCCATATTCGTTACATAATAAACGAAACGTAATTTTCTCGATTTTTATATTCTATAATCTTCCCACAATGAAACGTGAAAAATTGCAACTTTTATTTCAGACTCGTTTAGTGTCGAAGATATTTTTTAATTTGCATGCCATTAATCCCGAGTGGAAATTTCTACTTTAAAATTGTAGCTACGCGCGCAGTAGAATGGGATATATTATGTGCTCAGCATGTCAATAATTATAATTGATGGCATTTTAAGATTATCCAGGTGTGATGAACAGGTCAAATGGTACAGAATGAGAATTGATATATTAGAGGTAATTAATACGGCCGCGAACGCGACATGTGAAACACCATGTGCGCCGGAACAAACGATTTTAGGTAACTGAGCGGACGTACCAATTTCGCCGACCACCAAAACGATCGGAATGACCCATTAGTTCATTTATGGTCCAACAGTAATAAACCATCGAATGGATTCATACCGTTTATACAGGGTGGCGCTTAATGACCGATATGGTTTGAATGTTTAATAACTTTTTAAATTTTTTATTTTTTTTTATTTTTATTTCAAAATTTTGTGAAGAACACTTGGGGAATTTAAAATGGAATACTACACAACAGAACAGCGATCAGCAATTGTTGAATTTAATTTGGAAATCAACGGTCAATTGTTTTGACGCAGCGTGCTTATCGTCGTTTTTTTAATGTGCGTACTGGACCTTCAGCATCAACAATAAACCGCCTTGTTGCAAATTTTCGACAACATGGTACAGTAAGACACCTTCCACGTACCGGGAGACCACGTACGGTCCATACGGAAGAAAATATCCAAAGTGTTGCGGATAGTGTGCAGGACAGTCCACAAACATCAACAAGAAGACGCTCGGCAAAACTGGGGCTATCACGGAGGTCTGTTCAGAGGATTTTGGCCACATTGCACATGTTCCCGTATAAGGTTCAGCTTGTGCAACAATTGAAGCCGATAGACTACCAACAACGCCTTGATTATGCCATTTCATTCCGACAAAAAGCAGAAGAAAATCGCGATTTCATTAACAATTTGATAATGAGCGATGAAGCCCATTTCCAATTGAATGGCTTCGTAAACAAGCAAAATTGCAGGATATGGGCTACGGAGAATCCAAGAACAGTTCATCAGCGACAGTTGCACCCACTTAAGTGTACTGTTTGGTGCGGTGTATCGTCTGAAAGGATTATTGGTCCATATTTTTTTGAAAATGCACATGGCGCCTCAGTTACGGTTAATGGTGCTGATTATCGAACGATGCTGGACAATTTTTTGAGGCCAGCTGTACAAAACCATCCACAGTTGTGGTTCCAACAAGATGGAGCCACAGCCCACACAGCAATGGACACAATGGCTCTGTTACGGGACCTCTTTGGCGAACGCATTATTTCGCGCAGAAGCGATTTCAATTGGCCCCCACGTTCACCCGATTTGACAGCGCCAGACTGTTTTCTTTGGGGTTATTTGAAAGAAAGGGTATACATTAATAAGCCAGCCACCATACCACAGCTAAAAGAAAACATTCGCAATGAAATTCAAGCCATAACACCGGAAATTTTACGAAAAGTTATGCAAAATGTACTGGAAAGAGCACGAATGTGCGAAGCCGAAAACGGCCATCACTTGCGGGATATAATTTTTCATACTTAAGCCAAAAATATTCCCCATTAATATACTTTATAACACCAAAAAAATAATAATAATAATTCATTAAATAAAAAAGTTATTAAACATTCAAACCATATCGGTCATTCAGCGCCACCCTGTAGATCGATGTTTATGTTTCGAGTGGTTCTACGGGTAATATTGTTCGAAGTGTACGCAGTGCTCAGATTCATAATTAGTGACTTGATATAGTCTACCCTTTCCATGTTCCTTAGTATTTTCCAACAATACAGAACTAGTATATTCGTTCAGAACTCTCAATAATATAGCTTAAATAAATAAATAAAGAAAAGCTATATTGTTAAATGGAAAACAGGCGTTCGATATTTCGTGTGCACGTCTTTCACATTTTTCTTGTTAATTTCTGTTAAACTCAAAATCTTTTCTTCGACTAATAGCAGTTCGTAATACCTTCATTTTCAAAGAATATTTACGATATTCTCTTCTTCTTTTTTGCACGTACCATATCTACGATAAAGCACAGATTCGCAAGCAATTCAATTCGTCGAGCAAGATAAGAACCTATCTTGATCCCATCTTACCCTAGTATGTACTCCGTGCATCGTTTTATTTCTATAACCCGACGTTATCCATTTCCTACCGAAGGTTATGCAATTTATTGAAATAGTAATTAACAAAGTATATACAATTTTTTGTAAACTACGTTCTCCTGTCTTATCTTGAGCTTCACCGCAGGAAATATGCCGCCACGCGAGGAATCCGTGATGTAATATACAGCCTTCGAAATACCAATAGCTGCTATTCGCTGTCGCGTCTCTGATATAATACCGACTACATATGTACGAACCTGTTTACCTGCACAGGCGACCTGAGAATACGGGAGCGTCTAACGCGATTTATTGTCCGAGCAGACAGCCCTTGGAACGTCCCGTGTATTCCTCGAGGGCAGCGCGAACGTAATCACGTTTAAGACAGTTCACTTGCCAAGCTTCTTCGGTGTCCTTACAAATGATCGCTATAAACGGCTGTGCGGCGTTGCGATGCCACGAAATGGCGCGACGGTTGGCGGCTGGGGAGGCTGCGCCATTAGCTTCCAGGTGTTCGATATCCCAGCCACGCCATCGTTCCCTCATTCCGGGCGATCATGGCCCAGATCATCCCCCGAAGTGGCGGTGTAAGTTTCACTATCGCGTCGACGATACAACGCTAAGGGGCGGACAGCTCCAACGGAATGGAAACTCAGAGACAGAATAATCCACGCTCGTATAAGCCCCCGGAGTTCTTTGGAATCGCGGTTGACGGGGTTTTCAAACTTACGAGCGAGGAACCTTTATTTTCGTCGATGGTGCACCGTTCGCCCAATTCGAGTCAGAATTTCTGGGAAATAACGAGATCATTGGACTAGGTTCGCCGACGGTCCGTTTGAAACGAGGACACCTGTTAGCCAGGAACGTTTCGACGTTTACGGAATCGTCGAGTCGGGTCATTTTCGAAATGCAATTTTCTTTATTTATCGGTCGTATAATCAATCGGAATCGTTAAAACTTTTTTTAGGGAAATAGTGTCAAAGTAAATGTGAAAATAAACATAGAAGACATCATAAATAATAATAGTCGTTATGCTCATCGGATAGAGGATGAAATGCCCTTTAAAATGAGCGTTCGTACAAGTCGATAGCTTAATTAGTTTCAGAGATATAGCGATTTTAGTTTCAAGTCGATGCGGTGGCTAGTTTCGGAGATATAAGTCCTCGAAGTTTATTTACGTCGCGAAGTGAATGAACTCTCACTACGGCCTTGTCAAGGTCGTTGACCGCACGTGTTTGTAGTAAATAGTACGCACTACGTCACTCACGCGCGAGAGAGAGGTCTGACTCGACACGTCAGACGGAGAGAGAGATAGTCAAATTAAGAAAAATACCCTTTTACATAAATTACGATATCTCGAAAACAGAAAGTCGGATCGCCAAAAACCGAAAACCATTTTAAAGAGGAAAGCTTGCCGCTCCCAACAGTGGTTCAATTTTCGATAAAACACTAATAGCTTCGGAACTGCACGCATCTAAATTTTTAGTATTTTTAATACGCGTTGATAGCCTTTTCTAAGACGACGCGATAAATCACAGTGCAAATTGAAAAACTACCCTTTCACATAAATTACGATATCTCGAAAACAGAAAGTCGGATCGCCAAAAACCGTACACCATTTTAAAAAGGAAGGCTTGCCACTCCCAACAGTGGCTCAATTTTCGATAAAACACTAATAGCTTCGGAACTGCACGCGTCTAAAGTTTTCTTATTTTTAATACACGTTGTTAGACCTCTAGCGAGAAGTATCGTCGCAATAGCTTGATTTTCTGCACGCTTTATCCGGGTAATAACATGTTTTAAACATTCCTATATGATATCAATACCCGTAAAAAATTTTATTTAAAAAATTTATAGCCTGATCGAACTTCTTGTTTGCGTTCGGTTTAATCCCAGACTCGAAGAGTTGATTAATAATTTCTATAGAAACGAAAATATGGTAATGAGCAGCGTCAGTTTCAGATCGTTTGCTGAAACAATTTTGCAATTACTTGACATGGTTAGCGTAAAAGCGGATCAGATAAACTTCCTCCATGGTAACCTAATTAATCGTAACTTAATTAATAGTGCGGTATTCAATGTGCTTGAACTGTCTTCTCGAACAATGCGCGCCTGGATGCGAATCGATATTTCAAAGTACCAAGGCAGCTTGTACGTCTTCTCGTTATGCGCCAGGAAGATTAAGAACGCTCCGTCGCGTATTACGAAACGCTCCACATAAATAAAGCTTCGATTATGAACCATAAAAAAAGCAATAATTGACGTCGCGAGTTGACGAATAGAATTAGCCGAGTCATTCGATTTCTCTTCCTTTAGGAACTTCTTTATTGGATTTCAAAATATTATCTCCGATTATATAAAATTTGATCTATCGATATGTAACGAACAAAAATAAGATCAACTTCAGTTTATTAAGACTGATTCTCATACTTTAATCGCCAAAGAAACAATTCACGCAACAATTTGTGACGTTCAAGTGCATCGAATTTAATAATTAAACTCGCAAGATCTCTCGTGAGCATATTTTCTGGACGGATGGAACATAGCTGTGCATCCGTTATCCTTATAGCTGCATTCCTCCATTCTGTAATTGCACTTTTGTTCGTGGGTCTCCGCGCGACAGCGTTTCGGTCTCACTCTACAACCGTGTTCGGCCCATTTGCACGCTACTTGCTCCTCGGGATCGTACTCGCTTTCGTCCGAGCACTCGCCCTCTTGATGGTACTTTCCATAGTTGCACTTCTCCTGGTGGATCTGTTTTCGTCTTCTTGGCATGTTGACCATGCAACCGTACTTTCGGAACTTGCATTCCACCAGCTCTTCCGGGTCGCCGTCGTCCTCGTCGGTGACGATGCTTACAATATCGAGACTCTCGGTGATATCGTTCATCAACTCGTAACGGGTTTTGTAATGGCAGTGATTTTCGTGGATGGCAATCCTCCAGGGCGAGGTCTTCACTTTACACCCGACGACTCGATGCTTGCACTCGACCAGGTCGTCGTGCACATGAGCCACGTCCGTGGGAAGACTCTCTTCCTCCAAGTGTGGGCGAAATTGACATCTGAAATTTGTACGCACGCTGCCTTCAGTAGAACACTAAAATTAGCTTACTAAAATATTTTCAACGTAATATTGCAAATATAATTGCATGGGTAAACATTAACTTCCCAATTACTTTTCTCATGTACAGGTCCTGTTTTTAGGGTTGAAGCTTGCAATGTAATATTTTGGGGAGGACTGTAATTAGCAAAATTAGAGGAGCGTATATTCGAGTCTCTCTATCAGTTTAAATATTTTTGTTTAACGACTGCTTACCGAGATTCGTGCAGATCTATCAAGTATACCGGTACCCTGACCCAGCATCCATAATCAGTGTACGCACAGGACCTCAGTTCCTGGTGTTCGGGGGGGACAGGCGGATACGCGTGTCTCTCGTGATTAAGGAAATCTTCTACCGGTGCAGTCGGATAATGATCCTGGAATTTCGGTGGGAGGGGATGTGGCAAAAAGTGAGTGGGTGGCGGTGTGTAAGACGCGCTGTTATGAGAAGCAGGCATCACCACGTTCATTGGCGCCTGACAGGTGGGACAGGCGTAATAATAAGGTTTGCAGCGATAACAAATCGTGTGTCCATTGTCGCAGGTGTAACGGGGCGCCAATTCCATCTCCATCAGGCAGATCGGACAGAGGCCCTCGCACTTGAATTTTTCGGACAGGTTTGGGTACAGCGTAGCCATGATCTGTTAAAAATAATTGAGAAAATCTTCAAGAATTTTATTATTCAGAGAAAGCAATACACTAGTCTCTCGACGACTCTGAATTTACTTCTACGGTTGAATTTATCAAAAATATTTATTCGAGCGCGTTAAAGATCGTTTGTTTTTACCTTGACTGATTGTGTTAAGAATCATATCGCGCTAAAGAGATTACGAACGATGGAATTTAGATATCGTACTCGCGTCAGATAAGAATAGCATTTAATCAGTCGGTTATCAAACCGTACGACTTAAACGAGGGGACTTTCGTCTTCTGTCGATACGAGATCGGAACGAAAATTACGCAACGAAACTAGAAACATTCTCGTTGTAAAAGCAAACACGATTTTTTCAATGGGATATTTTTTGTCCTGTTCGAAGGATTCAAACATCTCGTCTCATGTAAGAGTAATTTAAATATTTTACGCGGCAGGGATGACAATTCTTCTTAATTTAGAAACTATTGTCTGGAGGTACTGTTATTATATAATGTGATATTTCGAGAAACTGCCACGTAATTAATTTCAATAGGAATTATAAAAATTCACGGAATGCGCACGGTTGGGAGAACCGTGTAATGTTGATTTATTATACGATCATGCGTTGCTCTATGCTTGTTATTTTCAAAGGAGTTCCGTTTAGGGTGGAAAGTTGTCGTTCGTTCGACCTTGCGTCGAGTTTTCGACGTCCAGCGTCGGTCCTCGACTTCCGGTACGGGTAGCCCACGTACGCGGTAACACGCGGCCGAACATATTACAATCGATCGTGCTGAATTTACTCACTCGACTCGTTGTTCTCGTCCTTGCAGCGACGCCGGGGCGATACTGAAATTACGGCCGCGCGGAGCGAAGGGAGAGAAAAAAAATAGCCGTCGCGGCACGTACGCCTACGCGACTACGGGCACTGTGTGTCATCGTCGAACTGTCAGCGTTCCCTTATTTGCCAAGACCGATAGCGCGACTTTATCTGATAAAGCCCCCCGCCATTCCTGATAGGGAACCATTTTCGCGGCCGAGACAAAAGTGTCGGCCGACGAGGCGATTCCGCGCGTAGAATCAAATCGGCGGAGGGGAACGCGTCGTTCGCTCTCGTTGCTATGCATACCGCGACGGCCAAAGGTAACCGGCGCCATTTGTTACCACCTCGTGTTTCCCTGTAACAAAAAAAAAAACCGGTGAAAAACAATGTCGAAAAATGACCATTTTCGACACTCGACGGGGGAAGAAAAATGCCTATATAGCGTGAATCTAAATGACATGGTTGCTTGGCTGGTTACCCTCGCGCGGCAGCAATTCCTTATTTTTATTTTGCTTTATTTTTCCTCGAACAGTCATCGACGATAAAACGCGTTAACGATTTGCACGAGAGTTTCGTCTCTAAATACATTTCAGTAGAAATTTAAAAATTAAGTGCACATAAAACTACACGTTGATTGTTCAGTTTTTCTATAACCCAGTTACTGTATTTTGAAATTTAATCCTTTAAAGTGTAATCAATCGACTTTAGAATTTTCAAGCGTTGTAGATGTATCTTCGAGGGTACTTTATATCCAATAAATATCGATGAATAATCTGCATCGTCGGTGTTTGGGTATTTGTGAATATCACCGTTCAGTAGCGTCGTTTTTAAGATCCTTCGAGCTGTAATCACTTAACTTTAGAATTTTCAAGTGTAGTAGATGTATCTTCGAGGGTACTTTATATCCAATAAATATCGATGAATAATCTGCATCGTCGGTGTTTGGGTATTTATGAATATCACCGTCCAGTAGCGTCGTTTTTAATCTTGCGTTCGCGTCAAGCGGTACAACAGCTACATTGTACGTCGTAACGTGTGATGGATTTCTGTTTCCGCTTTGATTACTTGACCGTTCGCCAGTGACAGTTAATTATGAATGAAAAATTGTTACTGGCCGTTGCGTGACCCCTCGACCACCGTGGGTTCGTTACGCAGCTTCCATTTTGGTCCCCCCGTTGGCCACCTATTGATAATCTTCGCGCGAGATCTGGGATTACGTTTCACGGTTGCGTTTCTTGGTCCCCCTGTTTCTTCGAATATTTCAACGATGCGTCTAAAGTTTCGACAGACACTCGCTGGATCTGCTCAACCACTACAAGTCAAGTCGTATTATATTAAAAAAATTATATCGAACTTAAAAGTTGTGTTATTTCAAGAAATGAAAATGGAATCTCGTATCCCACTGTAGTGACTTTTGCTTTGCGTGCAATTATCTCTAGATATTGCTAATGGTCGAGCTTTCGTCGCATTAACTGTTAATTTGAAATAATCTTGACGGCCTCCAACGCCGTTATCGTTACGCTGTAAAACGCGAGACGCGACAGCAGATTCGTTAGCGTAATATTTCACCGTGCAATGCGTTTCTCGCGCTATAATTTCATTTTGGGCTCATTAATCTTAACGTTCTCCATTCGCACGCGAAGCCTGAATATCGATCAGAAAGCTGACCCGCTATTACAGCTCCAATTTTAATTGTACAAGATCGTGAAATATGTGCAGTCGTTACTATCAATATTATCGGCTTCTGGCGTTATTAAATATTGCTTTATAATTCTTTTCTCGTTTATTATAAGCGTCCAGCGTAACGCAGCCATTTTGATTTCAATACTTGCTTGTCTTTGATCTTCATTTTCACCAGGTATCGTTATGTAAATCGTTTATGAGTTTGATTGCTTGTTAATAATTTTTTAAAACGATCACTTTCGAGTAAAATTGTTAAGGACAATTAATATTAAAGTACATACACGGTATTTAAAGTAAAAACTCATTATTATTGCATCGAACGAGCATACGCGAACGAATGTTATTTTTTCGAGACATGCTTTTATCAGTATCTCCAGGCGACTGTCACGTTACTATGCAGATTAAACCGCCACTTGCAAGTTTCATTTTCCGTTGCAACGCACTTTCGTGAATCGTGAGCCACGAGCTAACAACTATTTCTAGTAACTGCAAAATTCCCTGTAATTTTATGCAGCGTTCTGCGAAGCGACGCGACACTCATACACTGTCAGTAATTTCATAGGTTTGAAATTGTTCAAGAAACAGAGCATACAATTTTCTTAAATGTAACTTTCCGATCCTGCTTGTGGATCCTTTTCGAATAATTATAATACAACTCATGAGTAATATCTGATAGTTGTTAGCACAAAGTAAACTACAAAAATGTAACTTTTTAAAATTAGTTATTTTTTAATCGAATTTTCAATTTGAGTACTTTTTTTTTATTTTAAACGAAGTGTTAGGAGTATACTGTCCAAGAAATACAAAGTTTGCAAATTCACTCCCGCGTTACGCGGTTAAAACAGGATACTCGAAGGTTAGGGAATAATTTTTGAAAATAATACGGCAATTTCCATGCTGTCTTGCGCTCTCGCCGCTAATTCGGGGATGTAATGAAAGTACACTTTTGCAACCCGGCACGCAGGGCGCGAAACCAGATACACGCGTATGATATTCTACACCCTGTCTCATAACGACCATCCCTCATTTGAATCCCTACGCGAACGTCACATCAAAGATATCCGAGCGGTCTCATTCAGGCGGGGGGAGGGGTAATACCCACTGACCATAAGTCACTTATGCAAATCTGCGAGATGGAAACACGCGTCGCTTCGCGGCATTGCTCGACGTCTACGACGAAACAAATTGAATTTAATATTCAACGTCACGGCGGTCAGCGTTGGTTCTGCTCGAAATTTTACCACAGTTGGGCTGGATTACCCCTATTCGACAAAGGGTAGCCGGGAAAACTTTCAAACGAATTAGAATCAAACGATAAAATTAATTGTATTGTATTTGATCGAGTCATAAGTAACTTCCGTTTTTTTTTATCAGACATTTATTTTGCTCTCATTAAATAACAAAATTATATTAATTTATTATGTATTCACCACTATTGTCTATAACCTTCTCCCATCACCCCGGCAGTTTATCAATTCCTTCCCTGTAAAATGTGGTTGGTTTGGACCTGAAGAAGTTTTCGACAGCCTGCCTGACTTGCTCTTCAGAATTGAAGGTTTTTCCATTGAAAAAGTTTTGTAAGGTGGTAGTCTGTCAGGGCAAGATCCGGGGAGTAAGGTGGATGTGGTAAAACGGACCATCCAAGTTGTCGTGTAGAAGAATGACGTTTTTGCGATTCACGAGTGCAGGACGCTTTTCATGGAGTCTCCCTTGCACTCTTTGCGACTGCTGAACGTATCTATCCGCAGTAATCGTTAAATTTGACTTCAACAACTCGTGGCGAATTATTCCTTGACAATCCCACCATACACGCAATAAAATCTTTTTGCCATGGATGTTTGCTTTCGGATCTGGTAGGAGTGGTTGATTCTTATCGAGCGACTGTCTTTTGCGGACTATATTGTCACAGGTAACCCATTTTTCATCGCCTGTTACAATCCTGTTTAAAAAAGGCTCAATTTTTACCCGTGAGAGCAGACTTGTGGCGATTTACATACGATCTTCTTTATTCCGTTCACTGAGATTGTGAGATACCCATACTCCTAACTTGTTGACTTTCCCTAATTTCTCCAGGTGGCGGTTAACAGCTGATTGTGACGTATTCAACCTTTCTGATATACCTCTTGTTGATTGACGTGGATTTTGCTCCAATATTGCTTTTAAAAGGTTGTGTATAAACATTAATATAAATTTTTACAAGTAAATTATGTGAAGTGATATTTACAAATCGACCCACAGTTTGGTGATCAGTTTCGTCCAATTGTTTCGAGCAGAGTAAACGTGGCCTTCTGAAGTATTATAAAAATATTTTACATTGAGTTCGTTGACGTTAGTGTTCTCAAAATTATTAAATTCCCAACAAATTTATAATTTATCTGAAGAAACAATTGAGCTGGAATAAAATTACCTTCTCAGACTCAGACTTGGATAGTTTTTTTGCTTCTTCGAGATGTTTCCTAACGTTCCAGTGTTTCAAATTAGAAGGAACCTCGTTTGTCTCGATGGAAACTTAACAGGTCGGTCTTACGTGAATTTCTTAAGTAATAAATTGCATGTATTATTGGGAGAAGTTCCCATTGGGTGTACGTCGTATCTGATTTATGCACGACGGTGCACCGACCCATTTCAGCCGAGCAGTCAGACAGTTCTTGAACGAACGATTTTCTAACGGATGGATAGGTCGTGCAGTTCCCATTTGCTTATCTTCTCGTTCCCCCGGATTTAAATCCGATGGATTTTCATTCCTCGGGGCTACTTAAAAACATTTGCCCATCGCCAGTTTTTGAAATACTTCGGCCACGCGTATAAGATGTCTGCCAGCGAAGCACTTGGGGGCAGTCTATATAAAAGGAATCAACTGTCTATTAAGAAAGTACATCGAACGTATTTTATTACCTCCACTTTACAACCATTTCGATTCTTAAGCAATCAGATTTTCACATTTTCACCTAATATTTAGACAAGTGAACGAAGAGAAGAGTCACGTTTTAGTTAAACACGTGTTTCAGATCGCAATTGAGCATCGAACCATCGTCGAGGGGAGCAATTAAAAAATTCCTAATAATTTCATACTATTTTCCTTTTCTTCGTTCGAGCATACCGCGTATTATCTTCCGATACATCGTATAGTCGTAATATATTGCCGTCGTCAGACAGTGAAAAACGTACAAGGGTGCCACGTTCTCAATATTTCAAAAGCGTTATCTAAATCGTTTCGCCGCCAGCGGATCCGACCTTATTTCCACGCACGACGCAATAATTCGCCGCGTCTTATTTTTTTCGAGTCATTGTCTGACGTTTTAATAGGTCAGTGAAAAGGTAGGGGAGCATCGAGGGAGCTTCTCACAAAACAGCTTAATGAGATGCTTCTCTCTTTCTGCCATTGAATTCGGCGCGAAACGCGGCAAAGAAAAGTCGTTGACGTCTCGAAATAAG